TATTTATAAATATTAGTTGTCTATTTTTTGAGACTTTGGAAAAAACTAAATAAGAAGAAGAAGTTAACTGATGAAAGCATTCTGTAATAGACATACTCCTATGTGACAATGTAAATGTGACTTTCTTTGCAGTATTATTATTATTGCTTAATATTTTGATGCAGCCATCATCTGATTTCTTTTCTGAATATATTTATCCTCGTTCCCTCTTTATGGGGTTTTTGTTCTCAGTCCTTATGTTAAACATTGTTATTGTCATTAAATTTTAAGCCTTTTAGTTCTGTGAAGGCAAAAGTGGAAACCTATTAAACACATGGATATGTTAAAAAAAAAAAAAAAGCCAAACGCATCTTTCCAGTGCCAAGTTAAAATAGAGGCTGGTCTGCAGGGGGTTTCATTGGAGATGAGAGAGGTGTTGCTAAGATCGGCTATCATATCTTCCTTATTTATTAAAAAAGAAAAGAACAAAGAAATACTGGGAGGCATTAAAGCTATCTACTGACTTTCCTCTACTCCGGGGGTCTTGGTGCACATGAACATTGCCATAGCAGTTTTGTGCAAAAGCAGGTTGGATTGTAGGCTCCTTGGAGAGGTCTTTGTTATGTCCTCCTTCTGCTACCAACTTTTGGGCCCTGCCCAGTCTCAGCTTCTAACCAGGGACTGTTGGAAGCCTGTGCTCAGAGACCGATGTGGGGTGTCAGGATCAATTAGTCCCTCCAGGAATTAAAAGCAAGCCATTGAATGCCTGCAAGCAATGATTAACTTTAAAAATATTAGTGATTCTGGGCAGGCCCTGTTCCTTTCTGGAAGAATGCTCCAGGCAGGCAACATTCCCAGGAATATTGGTTCGCAGTTATGTAGACACTTTCTCATGTATAAAGTTGCCCCAGGGGCTTGTACCTTTGATTCGGGGATGATGATTGTTCTAATGTATGAAATTTTAGTTCTTCCTACAAGGCCTTTCAGACATCTGTGTGTCCCTCTCATCTGCTCCCTGAACCCTCACCTTGTCTTATTTTTCCTAGTTGTAAAATGGGTAGACATAATCTTTATGGGGTAGTTTTGAGAACTAAATTGATTAAGATATAATGTATAAAGTGCTGATTTTAATGTCAAGAAGCCTGGGAGTGCTCTTCTGGAGATGATCTGCTTTCCACCTTTTGTCCTTAAAAAGTTTCTGCATAATTGTATTCTTCCATGGTTTAGTGTAAGCTTATAAAAACAAGTGGACAAAGATATTTAATAGCCTTTTGCTTCTGAGGTTACCTGTGTACTCACTGTATTAAAATACAGGCATCCAGACTAATTGCTTTTGCTGTGGTCTGAGGTGTTCAAGTTTGGGAGTTTGAATGGGTGTTTATTTTTTAGTGGACAGCTATCTGAAATATGGAGGGGAGAAAAGGCCTGTCATGTAGGGCAGGATCTAGGAAGGGAATCTAAATGGGATATACTTCATTCAATATTTTTGTTGTGGAATTAAATTCTTCTCTTGAGGGTCCATGCTTTCTTTCTTCTTTCCTTCCTGTTATCAACACCAAGGCTACGTTCCCCTGCCTCCACCCGTGTCAGGAAATGTCTTGGAAAATGTTAACAGCATTACCGAGGGAAGAAATTCTATCAGGATGGAATCTAGGCTCCGTGTAGATACAGCACATTACGGGCACTCAATAGATGTTAATAAATACCTCTCCTTATTGTTGAGATAAAATGAGGTTGATTGGGGTGTGAATCGTAGTGGTCAATGAAAGGACCTTGCACAGGGCGTGGTTTAAGGAGTAGAAGAAGAATCTTGGTTTTGAGCACATGACGTTGCTTTTTCCTCTCAAATTATTCTCCATTTTTAAGGGCTGTCATACCCGTAGAATTGCAAGCTCCCTTGTGTCCGTGTCATATGCTTTCTTGGCAGTCCTTGTGATACATGGCTGTGCACACAGTAAGATTTCAATAGATCCTCGTTGATTGAAACCAAACATTTGGAAATCTTGGAGGCCGTGTCGACAAAGGCGTGAGAGAGGGCTGAAGGAGAAGGAGAGAGAGAAACAGTGAAGCAGGGAGAGAATTAAATATAGAACCTGCCAGGAGAGCCAGAAAACACCAGGGTTGGTGAGCAACTAACTGTAAGTTCTTTGGAGAAAAGAAAAAGGAAAAAAAAAACTGGGCAGAAAATTTTTAATCTGAAGTGTTCATTAACCAAATTTTAAAGACCTTTAAAATAGCCCTCTCATTTGAGTTGTGATTTTGAGAGTTGAAAAAAGTTCGTGGGAGGTACTCAACTTTGCCTCCAGAAGCTTTTAAAATTTTGATTTGTAGAGTAGTAGAAATGTGTATAGTAGGAGAACATTGCAATATGCTATAGTTTATAAGTCCTTTAAATGTTTTTACTTCTAAATCACCCTCTGTGATAGTGAAGGGGGAAAAAGCCTATATATGAAATCACCTCTGGTTTCAAGGGATACACTGATTTGATTTTTTTCAAAGTGAAATTAGGTGGCAAAAAAACAAATAAGAAAATCCCAAGAATACAGTGTGAGGAGGTTAAACCATCAAAAACAATAACACAACATGTTCCAGTGTAAAGAACATCTCTCAAAGGTGTGAATGGGATTTTTAAAAAAAATATATAATGCATGCCTGGAATTGGACAAGCCCAAGTAAACATATCCGTGAATAGCCCGACTCAGGCATCGCCTGATAATAATTAATAAACTCCATTCTTTGCCAAGTGACCAATATTATTTCACAGTTGACCCGTGTTGAGGGTAGAACCAATGACCCTTGTCCTGGATTTTAATACTTTACTGAAGTTTTACATTAAATCAGAATATAATTAGGAAGAAAATTAATATCTCTTTGTGGGGAATACAGGGTAATGTCACGAATTGCATGTGTGAAAGCATTTTCCCTCTTGTGCTTTCCTGGTCTTTCTTGATTTAGAAAATTAAAATCACAGTCATTTTCTGATGTGTGTAAGAGGAAAAAATAGACCAGTGAAATGTACTCAGCTAAGTTAAAACGTGGAAGCTTTTGGCCATCTCTCTATATCCAATCATGAGAAACTGTCAATTTCTTTCTATTATTCACCAATTTACTAGCAACTTGTTGAGCTCTCAGAGTAGACAGATCTCTTATTATAAACGTGGTCTGACAGAGGAAGCAGTCTGGGGGGTGGGTTAGTTTGCTCTGTTGTGTCTATCTTTCACTTTAGGATCTGAACAAAGGACTATTTAAAATATACATTGGGGCAGAATCACCACTTTTGTTTTCTTTGCAAGGAGATGGACACTAATGGACTTGTGAAATTAACCTCCATCGGAGTTTAAAGGAATAGTGCCTGGCAAATTAAATTTAGACCCCCAGGGAATTTTTTTTTTAGATACATTATCCAATGGGAGACTGGGGCTGATAATGAAAGCACACTGCGTTTAAAATTTCATGAAAACATGTTTATTGACAAAGATAAGCTCACGGGGACATCCCCCCAGAACTTGGAGGGGTTAAGTCTGACCCCTGTAACGTTACAGGAAGTGTTTTTCTGCCGTCTCTGGTACCTGGAGTTTGTTATGTATCCAAAATGTAGTGTCATCAGAAAACAGTTACACCTGCATTAGCTTTCACTCTCTCAAAGTACCAGCTGAAAAATAATAAAAAACAGGGCTCAAGGAATGAATGTTTCTGCCCGTAGTGTGTTGGTATTTTCCCTGTCACTTCACGGGCATTCTTGATTTCAAAAGCAAACTGCAGGACCTAGGGCATTCGGGTTGGAATCTAGTGTTTATTCAAAAAGACACCCTAAGGCAGTTAGGAAGGAAATGTTACAAGTACAAAAAAAAAGCAGCCGGGATTCTAAGCTGATCTGGGCAGAGCAGCCAGCCGGGGCTGTATTTACTAACACTTGTTTTCTGGGAGCCTATGAGAGAAATGGAAAGGAAGCTGAAAGGATGGGATTATGTGACTTGTTCTCCTTTTATGGAGCAAAGTGAACTGCAGTAACACTTCTGGAGCTGGTCTTGCCGGCTGCCACGGGGACAGCCAAAATCTGGGTGTTTATACTTTAACAAATACAGGCTGGTCTGTTGATTAAACAAGCAAAAGGAAAAAAAAAAAATTGCTGCTTTCCGAGACACCCCCCCCCCCGCGAGAAAATGTCTCCTAAAATTCCATCGTGTGATAAACCCTTGCTTTAGTCCCAAACTCAGCTTGAGTCCACTTGGAGATCTGAGAATGAAAGAGTTCTTAGGGGACACACATGTTAGCTCAGAATACAGTTACTCGCTCATGAAACAGGGAGCTTTGCCACTTGCTTGTTTTGGAAGGAAAATAAATTAAAAAAAGATTGCAGGGGATTTTGGTTATTATATGGCCAGGGCTCCGGTCGGAGTCTCTGGCATTCAAAGCTGGCTTTAATCACAGCATGATGCTCGAAGCCTCCCAAAGTCTAAGTGTTTCTTTTCTTTTTCTTCCTTTCTCTCTCTCTCTCTCTCTTTTTTTAAGCGTTACTTCACTGAGGCAGAGGGCTGCCTTTGAGTGACGTCAGGAGTTTGAGCAGCAAGCAGCTCAGGGAAGGGAGGCTGGGTGAGTGACAGCCCAGCCTACTTTTTAATAGCTTTGTCATGTGACTGGGGACTGTAGTAAGACAGGTGCCTTCAGTTCACTCTCAGTAAGGGGCTGGTTGCCTGCATGCGTGTGTGCTCTGTGTCACAGTGGACCGGAGCTGAACAAGCTTGACTGGCGTCATTCAGGAGCTGGATGGCGTGGGACATGTGCAACCAAGACTCTGATTCTGTGTGGAGTGACATCGAGGTGAGCTGGGCAGGGCTCGGCACTGCAGCCAGGACGGAAGCTTCCCTCAGATGCTATGATTCCTGTAAGGGGGGATGGGCATGGGCAAGGAGGGGAGGTGGGAAAGTCGTCCAGGCGGGAGCTTTCCGAAGGGACTCGCAATCTTATCTTAACTCCAATAAGTTTGCTATTTTAAGGTGGCTCTGAGATGCCTTGAGCAAATCAAAGCTTAGCTGCTGTCATCAGTATCTGTTGCAGTTAGAAACTCTTTCCAAGTGCCTTTGGCTCTGTTTTTGCTCATATGCAATATTTACGCTCTCAGATATTGATATGAATCAGAAGCTGAAGACTTTCCAGCGGTGTTTAGTGGCCTGGTTGGAAAAATGCCATTTCTATTTATAATAAGATGAAGATAAAAATATTAAAATGCATGTGTTCACATAGAGCCCGTTTTGACTCTAGTCCGGATTTTTCCCCCCTCTCTCTCTCCCTCTGTTCATCAGACAGAGAACTTAGAAAATCCTAAATAATCCTGCTGGGCTATTTTAGATTGCTTTTCCCACAGAACACAAACAACGAGGCTGCTTCCTTTAAAACTCCTAAATGTGGTAGAAAGAGGTGGCCAGAGGATTAAAAAAAAAAAAAAAAAAAAAAAGTCCCTTCCAGGGCAAGGTTTTTCCTTTCGTGTTGCTGGCAGGAAAGCCAATGGTTAAATCTTCTTGTACCACGGAGAGCTGCCTGAAGCCGGAGAGAGAATAGAGTTGATGCAGGACTGTGTGTGGAGCTGCTCGCTGCCTGTGTAAAAATAGACAGCGATACATCAATTCCACAGTCTCTCCTGGCTACAATTCATTTGGGGGGGGGGAAATAACGCAAGCGGTTTCCTCGTAATCTCTGGAGTCGAGTGGGGGGACGAGGACCTCGGCGTGCTTGCAGTCAGCACAGTGGAATGTTCTCCGAAGGAAAGTTTGGACAACTTGGGAGACAAGTGAAACTTTCTGTGGACTCTGGTGAGATGGACTCGAATTGAATTGCACGGAGGATCCGGGCTGCTCGCCGTGCTTCTGGCAGAAGACCGCGAGTGCTTCCTCTGGGTAGCTGGGGGCACGTAGGGTAAGGGGAGGACCAAGTGCCACACGTGATTCGATTAAATAAGATGTCCGTGTGGTGCAGCGATACACATCTAAGGTGAAAATAATTTGGCCAGGGCCGGCTGCGAATGCATTTTTCCTATCTAGCGAGGCATGCCCTGAAATTCTTAACTCTTTGCTGGGTTTGCAAATGTTGGCTCTCTTGCCTGTGGGGATTCTAATTGTTCTTATCTCGTTGTGATTTCTTAGTAAGGTGCGCTAGATATGGATAATTCATATGTCCTGTAGCTATTAGGAGTCAGGCTTCTAAGTGGCTTCAAAGTCCTGTTGTCTCTGAGCAGCCGGAGTGTCCTGTAGGTGGCTGTCTGGCTGGCACCGTGCGTCTCGGCGGCTGTAGTTTCATTTTTCCATCGTGTGTTTTATTCCTGCTGCTGCTACGAGTTGGTGGAGGAGCTAAGTCCTATGGAAATAGGGAAGGTGTACTTGAATCTTTGGAATTCCTGCTGTCATTTTCACATAAGCCTCCCAAGCACTTAGACACAGTGGCCTTTTAAATTTTGTCTTAAGAAAGAGAGGTCTGGGGCTAATTGTCCGGCCGGGGCTTGGGTCTCCGAGACTGGCCGGGCTCCTGTCTGTGGCAGTGTAGGCAGGAAGCTGCTGGAGGCCGAGCCGTGCTGGCAGCTATGGGAATCACCTCCGCCAATCTAAGATATTCCGAGCAGCAGGTAGCACGGGCCGTTTTCATTTTTTGAATCATTAATGTTTGCTGTCATCCTAAAACGCATTATGCCCTTTTGCACATCCTGACAGGACAGCACATTGGTTAATAAAGGCCTAGATCACTCTCGCTGCTCCAGTCGGCAGCGTTTCACAGTTTAATGAAGGTGATGTACACTGAGGTTACTAAGATTGATAGAGACGATTCACATGACATAAACGCCGCTAAGATCGTCATCCGTTTCTGGCCCCCTCTACACCTCCTTTTCCCCTGCCTTGCCTAATTTTTTTTTTTTTTTTAAAGAACTAAGATTCTTTTTTTTTTCCTTCATATAATTAATGTGGCCAAGTCCACTCCTTCGTCTCTCTCCCTTTAAAATTTACCATCAATGGCATGAAAACCTCCAAAAGGTTAATGGAGAATTATCCTTAATTATAATGATTCATTATCATCAGTGCAGTGAAGCTAATTTATTGTCTGCTCCTTTAACTAAGAGAAAAGTCTGTTGGGGTGAAATAACATACAATAATTAGCCTTTTGTGTTTAGTGACTGCTTTATCCTCTTAAATCTTGTTATAAAATTAAGGCTACAGTTGTGAAATGACTGTCATAGTTGCAAAGAAGCAGGAGAACATTGCCTGTGTAACCGCAGCAGAGGACACCTGTTACGGATGTATAGGGAAGCTGTAAATATCAGCCTGTCACATGAGGATGCTTACAAGGCTTGGACTATTAAGTCTGGCATCATTGAAAGGCCAAATATAAATTAATAACAGGAACACTTGCTACTACTAATGTGTTTTAGATTAGCAGATAGCACCACACTCAGAAGCACTGATTTTATTAGCAGGTCAACACTGGCCAGAGCACATGCACTTTTTTTAACCATCACATAAAAGCAAAGATATGAGAGAGAGAGAGAGAGAGAGAGAGAGAAGGGGGCTGGAGCGGGAAGGAATATGTCGATCATAGGTTAGTAAAATATATTTCAGAACCAATTGATCTGATCCATTCAATGGTTTTCAAAAGTGATTGAAGAACACGTGTTTCTGGAAGGTACAAGGGTTTTGAAAAAGTCACACCCCAGAGGGCAAAGAAGTTGTCCACCAGTCAGTAAAACACTTCAGCATTCTGAAACAGGGTTCCTAACTTCCACTGCAGAAACTAAAGCCAGATGTGGAGAGCCTATGCCTTCCAGATTATTTTGATTTTCTTGCTGCTGTTTTTGTTGTTTATGCTTTTTTTTTTTCCTTAACGGTTATCCCTGGACAAAATCCTAGCGTACTTTTCACCATTGCAAAAGTTCTCTCCTTGTGTCTGAATGGGTAGGGTTGAGGAAGAGTTCATTACTATCGGTTTCTACTTGGAGTGTGTGCAACGTGGGCGAGAATGGAATCGGGAAGTGTTACACCCCCAACAAAACGCGAACATTGTACCAGAACAAGATCTCCTCTTCAGCCCAGCCTCTGCTTACTTATAAACCTAGTCAACTATACAGAGCTGTAACTTTGTGCTAACTCAGATCATAAAAAGGAAAGACCCATAAAATGATAAGGAAAGTTTTGGTGGAGAAGGTGGCCCTTTCTTTGCATTCCCCTGGGCCCGCTGCTTGGAAGCTCATGGGGCCGCGGGGGTCTGATGAAGGGCTGCCATGATCTGCAGGCTCCTCCCAGCACCCCTTGCAAACTGCTGACTCCGTTTCCAGGTTGCTACCTCTCGGCGTGGTGTCCCCAGTCACGCCGCTGCATATGACTCGTGCATGTAGCCTGCCAGGGATCCCTGCCAAGGCTAACAGGGGTGCTCGAGAAAAAAATAAATGCATAAAACTTATTTCATTCAAAATCTAAATGTCAAGGAGGATCTTTACCTTCATGCCTAATTGTGCCTGGATATGAACCACTCCACGGCTTCTCCTCTGACCTTGGAGGGTAGGGCTGAGAGGGTGCCACTCCAGCCTGTGTCTCTCATTTAGACACCTCAGCTCACAGGTGGATGAAGTCCTTACTGCAATGCCAGAGCCCTGCAGTGTGAGTTTCTGCAGGCTTCTCCACAGCACAGAGGCTGGAATCAGCAATTAGCTAGCCAACTCAAGTTGAGGAGACCACCTCTTTGGTATGGGGGTTCAGGGGTTCACTTGCCATGGACAGCCACAGGCTGGGACCCTTAAAAGGCTGTCTATCTATGCAAGGAAGTAAACCACAATTTAAAATAGCCTTGGTGACAAGCAACCCAGCCACCATAGAGGATATTTGAAACCTCTCCATGTATTGAAATGATTTAAAACCTCTCAACAAAAACAGTTATTTGGAATTCACGTGGATCATTGTTTAGGTATATATAAATAAGGAACAGAATCTAGCGGTGGTGTTCTATCATGATTTTTCTTTCCCAGGTACTGGGTGATCCAAGCCACACACACCCCCCAACTCACGTGACTTACAAGTTACACATAGTAAAAGCTAGAAAAGCCAGATAGGAAAGGAGTGTGGCGTTTTTGCCCGTCATCTCAAGGAACTTGCTTTTGCCTTATTAATGATGAAGTCCAGAAACTCATGAAGAATCAAAGTAAGAGTAAATGATTTAAATAACAATTGAAGAGAACCAGAGATGAGCCAACGGGCTTTGCATCATTAGCTGCTAAATGAATGATATGGATTAAAATGCTTACAAAGAGTATAAATGGAGATAGTTTTCCTAGTAGTGTTCCTTTGTTCAATTTTGTGTGTAGCAGTTGTTTATTGAGTGTCTATTATGTGTCATGGCAGTTCTTGTGTAAAACGAAGCTCCTGCCCTTCCCCCAACGGGATTTTATTCTAAGGATAGAGTGAAATGTTTCCCATAGTTAACCATTAAAAAATTTGAAACGTGGTATGTACTAGCTATCAAAGAGCTGTAAACAAAGATGTCTAACTGGGAGGATCAGAGAAGACTTCTTGGAAGTGTGGTATGTACCAGGGGCTGGAGGTACAACCTTGGATGGCATAAGTCAGGCTAAGTGTTCTTTGGAAGTCCGGGGAGGGAAGAATTTAGGATGTTTTCCCTGGCGAATAAAGCCCCAGAGACCAACTTTGGTGGTGTCGTTGAATTAACCAGACTTAATTCCTATCACATGCTATTTCGGTTTAATAAATTCCTGCAGTTAATGAAAGCTATTTTTTTTTTTTTTTTGCCCCCTGCAGTGTGCTGCCCTGGTTGGTGAAGACCAGCCTCTTTGCCCAGATCTTCCTGAACTGGATCTTTCAGAATTAGATGTGAACGACTTGGATACAGACAGCTTTCTGGGTGGACTCAAATGGTGCAGTGACCAATCAGAAATAATATCCAATCAGTACAACAATGAGCCTTCAAACATATTTGAGGTAAGGCATCCTTTGGAGAAATTAATTTCTCACTGACCTTGGCTTGGGCTGGACTAACATGGCAATAGGCCTGCAAGCATTATGGACTCTTTGTGGTCATCAAAGGATTTGTCATTACCCTTAAACCCTTTCTACTTTATGAAAAAATAATGTTTGGTTATAAACAGCTGCATTTTGAGATTGAAGGGGCTCAAAACTGACAACAGAGTGCATTAAACTATGTTGAAATACTAAGAGGTTGTGAAAGAATGAGTGACACAGAAGAAAAATTCTAAGCCTGTTTATTTCGGTTTCCCACAGAAAAAGACTAAGCAGTAACTAAATGGTGCCTGATATAAATTAATATAGAAGTCATTTTTTAACCAAGACGCTAGATAGCTATCTTTATTTATTTTACAAAGTGGATGAGCTATTTTTATTATTATTGTTATTATCTGATTCATGTCCCTGATTTCCTTATATAATGGAAACTTTGAAACGCAACTCATCTAATATATACTTACAGATTAGTCAAAATCCATTTACCTTTCAGTAATAAGAAATACCTCTCGGTTTCTGCAGTCCAGACTTTCATTCTAAGCCTACCCTATAATAAAGAATGGTAATCTACTACTATTAAAGTGTTACTCTGAGAAAAGAGATTCTTTCCCACAAGCTCAGTATTCATTTACTTGAAAATAAATGATTTCTTATTATAGAGACAAATAGTGCTTGGCAAGTGAATTGCAGAATCAACTGATTTTCAATATCACAACCACAGGTATCATCATTATCATGTTACGTTTTCTGAACACCTACTATGCGCCAGGCCTCCCACCAGAATTCTGTTATCCGCCAGTAAAAACATTTCTTAGACCTCAGTGTTACTTGGTTGAAATCCTGAGTCTAAATTTAAGAAAGCCAAGTTTACAATATTAATTGAGGCGTCTCAGCATTAAGCATACAGAACAGGCTGAGTAAATGATTGTTGAATTACAGGTTCAGTGGTGACTGTAATCCCATTGATAACTACAGTCAGAAAAACAGCGACCAACATTTCGGACTACTAGGCTGAATGTCTGGCATCTCATTCACCTTTGGAAACAACCTGCTGTTTTGGTAGTATTTTTATTATCATTCCCATTTTACATATTCAGGCAATGAGTCTCAGAGAGGTTAAATGGTTTTCCCAAAACATACAGTTGACCAAAAAAAGAGTTGGGAATTGAACTTCCCCTGGATCCGACTTTGAAATCTGTATCATTGATAAAAATAGGGAAGTCGTCCATTTGGGTGACGGCCATCCTTTACAAAGACGTGTCAAGCTGCTTCTTTGCTTAATATATTTAAAAATAGAACAGAATCATTCCTTTCCCTCCGTGTTGGTTGACAGAGAGGCAGAGGTGGCTGTGGTTTCTGCCAGCAGCTAAGATTCTGTCATAGCTCTGGGGCATTAAGTGGGTCTTACGAGAATGTTGAAGGTAGCAGCCGCCGGGCTGGGGACATGGAACAAGGTGGAGGGAATGCTGAAGGTTTGTGGTTAGTTCTACTTTCCCAGGCTTCTCAGCAGGGTCTTGGAAAGTTCATGTGAGGACTCGGCTGGTTAGAACTGGTAAATTGAACATTCCTCATCAGCACACTTGTCAGGTTACAGGCCCATTCGAAGTCATGCTGCATTAAATAAACAGAACTTGAAAAAACGTCCATCTCCGTAGACCTCTTATCTAAAAATCAGCTGTGCCATATCAGGCGAATGGCTTGCCTTTTGTAGAGGATAGTTAGAGAATAATTTGAAGGCGGAGGGAGAAGGTGTGGTGGTCAGTGCCTGCCTGGTGAACCCATTGTGAAGAGGGTTAACTTTCCCGGTGACCTTTATGGGCCTGTATTTTGTGCTGTGGTTCCTGGGTGAAGTATTTCAGGAGACTTGGTTCACCGGCTAGTTATGGTATGATAGATGCTTAATCTCTGTGATTATACCCCTTTTGTTTTCCTCTGTCACATGCTACCACTGATGGAATTGTTTCCAATACCCTAAAACACTAGGTTCATTTAATTTCCTATCTCATTAGGTCACGTTAGAGCAGTGATTCTTAACTGAAGGCAGTCTAGCCTCCCCCTTCCCCAGGAGGCCTTTGACAGTGTCTAGAGGTGTGTTTGATTCTTAGGACTGGTGGCAGGGTGACGCCCTGGCAGAGCCAGAGGACACTGTGAAATATTCTCCAATGCAGAGAACAGCTCCACACAACAGAGAACGGTCTGGCCTCATTCTGAGATTTTAAAACCTGGGTTTTTTTTGTTTTTTTTTTTTTTAAGTCAGAAAAACTTCCCTTTATAAACTGCTAAAGATGGATCAGTTGATTTCTCAGGGAAAACACAGTACAATATAGGATATGAAGAATGAGAAGCTGTATAAAACTACTGAGATGCCCAGGGCCTCAGGACTCACGCGTCACTAAGTGACAGAGAGCAAAAGTGACTGTTTAGTCCTCACGACAGTTTTCCCTGATGTCACAAAACCCATTCTTCTTTGTCTAGGCAAAGGGTAAGGTCAGATGTGGCAACCCCGTTACACACAGCGGCAGCTTCAGAAGCATTTGCATAGCGTGCTGACGCCCCCACCCTTTGCCCTCCTCTGTTAAACCCAGACATCGTTTCTATAATGGGAAATGAAAGCTGTTTTGAGCAGAGCGAAATTCTAAAATTGGGTCTTCCCCTTGCAAAGAAAGTCCAGAATAACCCTTGCAAGACCATGGCTTTGTATTGCTTCTGCCAAAGCAGCATTTCACAGAAGCCCGGCCAGGGCCAACCTCTCCCGTGCACTTTTCACCCCACTCACCTTTTTCTGATCTGCAAAGCCCCGACTCATCACATCTGAGAAGGGCTGTGCTTGAACAGACCGGTCACGGGCGCTGCCATCTCCAGTCTGCCGGTAGCAAGCATTAGCCAGCTCGAACCCCCAGAATAAAATCAGACACCGAGCAGTTAAACACTTTTCCTGGACTTGAGCAGCTCGTCAGTGACGCTGCTGGAATGTAGCCCTGGGACTTCTGAATTCTGATCAAAGCAGAAAGTGGGATTTAAGGCCCCATCATAACACAGCAGAATGTTAGAACACGGGGAGTAAACAGACATCTCTTCCTCTCGCTTCGCTGTACTTTTGAACTCGACTTTAATTTTTACTTAACTGCACAAACATGGCAATAATAACAAAGGATGAAGGTGAACATCACAGCTTGGGAAAGAGAGAATTCTGAGTGGGGGCGAAGGGGTGTCAGAACGCAACCGCACACACAAACAAGGATCTCTGCGTACACAACCCGCGTGTGGATGTGTAAAGGCAGGTGACCAGGTATGATTCAGAAGCCTCTTTAAAAAACAGGGCACCCAGCCTATAGGTGTAGCCGCCAATGAATCCGATCCATGGGTAAGGAAAACAGGATACTGTCCCTTGACCGGCTGGTAGCAAGATTTATGTTTCATAATATTGCAACATAACTTCCTTCCCTCTGTTGCTTTTGTGCATTGTTTGAAGGAGGAGAATAAAGGGCTACTTTTACAGCTCAGCAGTGTGTAAGGATGGGTGGCAACATGGGGTTAGTTGAAACAGCAGACTGGCCTTTCTGGGTCACTGTGGGCCACCTTGTCCCTGGTTTATTTTAACACCTGCTTTAATGCCTCCGTGGTACAACTGAATGGGTATCTTCCAGTCATCCGTCCGTTACTTCTGAATGCAGCCACTTGGGGTTCTTTCAAATGGTGGCGAGGAAGGCTGTAGCTGTCTCTGGGTCATTACTCATAACACTTTGTGAAGCCTGCCTTCGCTAATGGGGAGAGATGGACTCACAGCTGTAGCCAGCATTCGTGTTTGGTAATTACTGCAACTCTCAGGCAGGTCTGAGACTGAACTTTTTGTAGGAGAAAAAGGGTGAGAGGTGGTTTTGCGTTATCTTGCTATTTGGCACCAAGGAAATGAATGGGGTGAGCTGTCCAGACTCACTCCCACCAATCCTTCTGGTGGGAGAGAGATTTTACATTTCTTCATCTGGCTTTCCGTTGCATTGGGACTTTTTCAAAAATGGGCATAAATGATATACTTATCAAAAAGTTAAAATGACAACTTGTGGCAGTTCAAAAGACCATGAGGATTTTGGGAGCAGGGAATCTGCTTTTCTTATTCACGGATGGTTTTCTAGACATTGTCTTAGAAGACAGCAGAAAGTATGAACTTAAATATTTGTAGCATGATGATGGAGTTGACCTTGTGTGTTTATGATATAAAGACAATACACAAAACTCTGTTCAGTAAATGCAGAGATGTTTTAGGGAACACAGGAGACAATCTGTTTCCTCGTAAACTTTCAATCTAGTCTGAGAGGCAGAATGAAGAAATGGGAAACAATTAGCCAAACAGGCAAGACCGTGGATACATATTTTCACAAATATCTGTGCATATGTTTTTATTTTTAGCAACTGGAAAACATTGGGAAACTAGTATTCAATTCTATGCATCTACAGAGGGGGCTGCAAGAATGTCCACACATAGTGAAAGATCTTATGGGCAATAAAATCGATCATTCCCCCAAATTGTATGAATTGCATGTACGTTCAGAGTATGTCTAAGTATACTTAGTTAATAAGAGTATCTCCCATTCAACTTTGAAAAGTAATACATAGATAATATCTCTCAAACTGTATATGCATTTTTTGGCATCTCCTCTATTTGTACACATACAAGATTTTATATATATATATGTGTGTGTATATATATATACACACACATATACACACACACATAGTTACAATTGGCAAGCTTTCTGATACCATATATGCACGTAGACATGTGTATTGTGTGTGTATATTTATGTTCTGCATATTCATTCCTCGCTAAGCAGGTAAACTAGCCCTAAATTCACCAAGTCTAGTAAGAATAAGGCCCAAATGTTTTCCCCGAGGAGGTGTGGGGGTAAGGAGCTTTATTTACTCAAAAGAACATGTATATTAATGGGAACACAGGAGTAAGG